AGGAACTCTAGCTTTGGCTGTAAGAACTCACACTTAGAGCCCTTAGTAATCGGTTTATTCTGCTGCAAGCGCTGGAACACCTCCTCTAAATCCCGTTAATGTTGCTCCCGAGTTTTGCTGTACACCCGGATGTCGTCGAGGTAAACGATATCTTTCTTGTACAGCATGTTCCAAAACACCCCGTTCATGGTGAGCTGGAAGGTTGAGGGCGCGTTTGTCAACCCGAACGGCATCACAGTATACTCGTAACTGCCGTAGCAGGTGTGAAACGCTGTCTTCGGGCAGTCATCGGCGAACACGCGAATTTGATGGTAGCCACCTCACAAATCGATTTTCGAGAAGCGAGCCCCGCGAAGCTGATCCAGCAGGTCGTCCGCTCGCGGAATCGGGTAACGTGACTTGATGGTGATCCGATTCGGTGCTCGATAGTCGATACGCATGCGCAAGCCTCCGTCCTTCTTCGGTGTGAACAGTATCGGGGCGGCGTAGGTGATGTGCTCGGCCGGATAAAACTCTTCGAAAGCAGATAATCCAGCTGTTTCCGCAACTCATCGAGCTCCGGTTGGCTAAGCCGCCACTACGACCGAACAGTTGGTTTCGCGCCTGGCTCCAGCTCGATCCTGTGGTCTTCTGGTCGCTGAGGTGGCAGCTTGTCAAGCATGTCATCCGCGAAAAAATCGGGATACCTCCGAATTATGCTCTCCACGTCTCCTGGTACAGCAGCGCAGAGAATGTCAATGTCGGCGATTTTTTCGAACGCAACTACCCCGTACAGCTGTACAGCGTAGCCTTGCGCTCGTTTGATCGCCCTCGTCAGCGTTATTGCGTTGATACGTGTTGCTATCGGCTCCAGTTCCGCCCATTTCGGAAGTGTCACGTGCCCCTTGTTGCTCAACACCGTGATTGCTCCCGTCGTCCAGTCGATCGTCCGATTGTATCACTGTAGCCAACCCCGTCCCAGTAGCACATCGCAATCGTCCATGGTCCTCGCCAACATCTTCATTGAAAACCCGAAATTGTCGCCACACTTCATACGAATTTGTCGCACCTCGTCCTTTATCGCCAGTGGTGTCCCGTCCACTAGTCGTGTGTCAATCTCGGGCAGACACCTTGTCAGAGTATAATGCTTGTCTAGTCTGTAGTGGGGTACTCAATAGTGAGTATAACCTTTTAGGGCTTGCTATTTGTACCTCCCTCCTTTCTAGTCAAACCCTCTTTTGCCTATCTCTCTCTTGCCTAGCTAGGTAAACCCTATCTATGGCTCCTTCATTCCTGCTGCTAGATTCTAACATGGAATCAGAGCTGTTACGCTCTTGGCCTGCGGGCCCGCCTACTGCTTCCGCTGCTACTGTTATGCTGGTCGCGCGCCCCGGGCGCGCGACACTTTTTCATCCCGCCGCGCGCTCGTGGCGCGCGGCGGTTTTCTGCCCGCTGTGCGCCCCGGGCGCGCGCGGCGGTTTCGTCGCCCGTCGTGGCGCCCTCTCCTGTCGCCCGTCGCGGCCCCCTCTCCCGTCGCCCGTCGCGGTGCCCCGGGGGGCCCCCGCGGCGCCCTCTCCCGTCGCTCGACGTGGCGTCACGAGGGCCGCGCGTCCCCCCCCTTCACGTCGTCTCTTCGCGGCGCCACGGGGGCCGCGCGTCCCCCCCCATCCCGTCGCCCGTCGAGGCGCCCCGGAGGCCGCGCGTCCCCCCCCTCCCCGTTCGCGTCGTCCCGTCGCGGCGCCATGGGGGCCGCGCGTCCCCCCCATCCCGTCACCCGTCGAGGCGCCCCGGGGCCGCGCGTCCCCCCCATCCCGTCGCCCGTCGTGGCGCCCTGGGGGCAGTGCGCCGTCCCCCGCGCTGCTGCCCGCGCTCCTGCCCCGTGTTGCCCGTTTTAGGGTTTGGGGGTGGTAGGTGTGGGGGTGGCCAGCATGGGGGTGACGGGTGTGTGCGCAGTCCCTTGGTCCTCCTCCTCCTCCGTCAACCACTGCTGCAGCTGCCGCTGAGGGGGGTGGGTGTGTGGGAGCCGATGGAGTGGTGCTAGGGGGGTGACGTGGGAGTGGAGCAAGGGGTGCAGCAAGGGGTGTGTGAAAGGGGGGTGGGACAGTTGGGGGAGGTTGAGCGGAGGCAGTCGTCGTGTCGTCAGCAGCGCCAGTAGTCCGGGGCGCTGCTCCGATAGCCCAGTATGAGCCAGCTGCGCCAGTCGCCTATGGGTCCGTTGCTCTTGCCGCTCGTCTTAGCCGCGAGCCAGTTACTCCAGTAGTCCGGGGCGCTGCTCTGGTAGCCGCTGTGCCAGTGCGGCTCCTGTTGCCCGTGTGTCTGCAGCTTCAGTCGTCACCTCCTATCTCCTCTCCTCTTACAGTCCCGCCTCCTCCTCCTCACTTGCTCTTTGTGAATGCCTCTAGCTTTGCTCGTCCTTGTGAACCTGCTCTATGCCTGCTTGCTGTGCTGATTATACCCCACTTTGACTATGGGGGTGTGTCAGAATATACTGCTTGTCTAGTCTTTAGTGGGGTACTCAATAGTGAGTATAACCCTTTAGGGCTTGCTATTTGTACCTCCCTCCTTTCTAGTCAAACCCTCTTTTGCCTATCTCTCTCTTGCATAGCTAGGTAAACCCTATCTATGGCTCCTTCACCCTGCTGCTAGATTCTAACACACCTGTCCAGCTTCACTGCAATTTTTTTGGCCGTTGCCAGGTTGACGACACTGTGGCTCGCCCCACCGTCAACGAAAAGTTATATTTTATAGCCGTTAGCCCTCCCCACGACTAGCACATGGTGATCCACGTGTTCATCCACTTTATTCGTCCGGTTGCGGTCGATAGCCCATGTCGGTACCACTACTCGGTGTGGATGGTGATTGCTGGGCGACGGGGTCGCGTCAGTAGGTGGCCCGACTGCTACTGATTCGTCTCTTTTCCTGACCCCTCTCCGTCGTTCCTATTTCCATGTTTCAGCTTCGGATAGTTCTTCCAGTGGCCCGGTTGGTTGCAGTTGAAGCACGTGTTAGGTCCACGTCTTGGCACATCCACACCGCTGATTGTGGGCTGGCGAGGCGGTCCACGAGATTGAGTGCCCTCCGGGAAACTCATTCTCGCCCACTGCATCAGCGCGTCCATTGATTCGGCCATCTGGATGGCATCGAGGAAGTCGTGTGGCCTCGTTCGCCGCACCTCGTACTGTACTTCGTATTTGAGGCCTGCGACATATCGATCGAGTCGCTCCGCGTCGCTCATATCATCCACCTGGTCGGCCAAATTGCAGAACGTTGTTGTGTAGTCATGGACCGATGTCACCTGATTCCAGGTACGCAGCTTCATGCGAGCAGAATCTGAGGCGGGTACGTGCTCGAATCTGGCTCGCAGTGCGGCGCCCCACTCTGTCCATGTGTGTATCGTAGCCACTCCGAACATTGTAGTTGCTCGTTGCGTGACATATGTCCAGGTCCCGTCGTTCGCACGTGACAGTCCTGCCAAAGTCCCCTCTGTCTGAAGAGTCCGCTTCCACCACTCCAACGTAGGTCCGCGTAACAGTGACATTGCAAAATTAATGCGAGTGACATTGTCAGCAATTTGCGCAGCATTAAAGAAGACCTTCACGCCGAACAACCACGCAGACACAGTGACGGTTTTGTCGCTGGGGTTGAACGGAGGCGGGTTCGTCAGTGTTATCTTTACAGTTGTTGTGACTGTTGCTGCTGCATGCACCGGAGGCGCCACTGAAGCCATCGCCGGGGTTGTCGCTGGCGCCTGTCGTGACAGCGTTTGCGACTGTTGCCTTGGCGTTGTCTGCTCCTGTTGCTGTTGTCCTTACGCTTCCCGTGCTTGTTGCTGTCGTGCCGCCCACTCCTCTTCAGCGTCCTGCGAGCATCCAGCTCGTTAAACACGTTTTCGTTGAGTGAGGAGCTCCTACTTGCTTCATCCATGACGGGCGACTCCTAGCGCGTTTCACTTCGCGCCTGGCGTAGTTCGGCGTTTTCCACCCTCAGGCGCTCCAGCTCGCCAGACATAGTCTACATGCTGGATTGCATCGCCCGAGTTCTGCATAAACGCGTCAAACTCTGCTTGATTCATGTTTTGGAGACTCATCCTAACGGGTAGTGGGTTAACTGCGATTTTTCTGACTTTGATGAAGACGCAAATGCTATTAGTCGGAGTGAGATAATCGTACGGTATCTATCTCTCAGCCGACGCTTTGCAGCCCACCAAGTCTATCGCACCCCTGCACTAAACTACCCCCGAAAATGGAGGGTAACCTAGGAAAGTAGCTCTGATACCAAGTGTCATGAGTTGTATGAAAGAAGAGTGCGCATAATGCAATATCGCATGATTCCAACTACTAAGAAAACAACGAGGCCTAGGCATAATGTAGCAAGGCTAGCTAGGCCGAGGTCGCGGAGTCGCGCGATGGTTGGGTGCAGGTCTGGGGTTGGGAAACCCGAAGGCGACGCGAGGGACGTTTGGAAGGCGAGGTCGTGGGACCGAGCCTGAACTCTGAAAAGTTGGAATTGTACGCGTACGGAGTGCCTCAATAAGGAATTAAGAGAAGTCCTTACACTAGTGGATCGCTGTTTCAGGCTGAAGTCAAGTCTGTAACGCGTGAAGCAGTCACGAATGTCGTTTGCCGCGCTGCACGTTCCTCTTGTAATATTCACCCACCTGGGCGAAAATATCAGTAACCAATTTCCAGGCACCCTTGCCGTGGCGAAAGCAATTCAACCAACTTTTCGTGCAAAGCAAACGCATTCGACAACATACCTCACCTGAAGACTTGAGGTCGCTCACTCTGGTGTATTTGCGGTGGTGCGAGAGTAGAAAAACTCGTGCTGTAGTCGAAGCAAAGGCGAGGCATTTGTCCAATGAACGAATTTCCTCTCACCGCTTGCAACCCTACACCTTCTTAGTGAGCACTGTTGGCCTTCGCCCGTGTCCCGATAAAATCATGCGGCTTCAGATTCCTCCCCGCCGCACCGTCGTGCGTCGATAACGCGAATCCCTTCACATCATCCCCAGATTCCAACGGATGGGGTTCGCCGGAGTGGCGTTTCAGCCGCGCGCGGCGGCGCTGGCGGAGCTGCAGCACTGCCCGCAGTTCCACGACGCCATCCTGACGCTCCCCGACGCCGCCATGTTCTCCGCGCCCGCATGCCTCCTCTACGCGCGCAGCAAGTGGTTCCGCCGCGCGTGGGAGGACGCGCCGGGGAGCGGCTTTGGGAAATGCGTGGAGATCACGATTCCGCCTGTACCTGGGGGAACGGAGGCGTTCGAGAGCATTCTACAGTACTGTTACGGGCTGCCTGTTAACGCGGATGCTACTAACGCGTTGCAGCTGCTGTGCTGCGCAGCGTTCTTCGAGATGTGTGAGGGGAGCGAGGAGGATTCGTTGCAGCGACAGGCGTGGAGGTACATTAACGAGTATGTTCTTAACGAGTGGGAGGACAGCTTGCGGCTGCTGGAGACAGTAGCGAGGGACGAGCTTGTAATGAGGGAGGCTCTGAAGCTCGACCTCCCGCTGCACGCGTCAGCATGTGTGGCAGGCACGTGCGCCGTCCCATCCACCCTCACCCGCCCGCCTGCTCACTCCATTCGTTTCCCCCACCACCCCTCTCGCCCTCCCCTTCCCGCCTTTCCCCCCCCCCCCCCCCTTCCTCCTCGTCGTCTGTGCTTTAACCCCTTCATCTTTTCATACAGTGAGCGCCCTTCCAACGCTCCGCAACCGCCCCCTGCTTGCTCTCATCGCCTGCCTGCCACCCCATCACCACGTCATACCTGTCCGCTCGCATGGTCGTGCTTATGTCTCCCCTACACCACCCCCACACCACCCCTGCACCACCCCCGCGCCACCCCACCACACCACTGGCCCACGAGCAGACCATCTGAGCGCCATGCTGTCGGGTCCCTTCGACAGCCCCACGCGCACGGCGGCGCTGCACCACCTGCTGGCGCGCCTCGCCGCCCTGCCCGCGCCCGTGCTGTCATGCGTGCTGCAGGCGTGCCGGCAGGCGGGTGTGAGCTTCGTGCGCATCGGCAACTACCTCGCTGCCCACTCCCACTCCTGCCTCTTCCAACACATCCCCTCCCTCGCTGCCGCTGCCGCTGCCACCTCTGCTGCTGCTGCTGCTGCTGGTGGTGGTGGTTGGGATGGCGATGTTGCAGGAGAAAAAGAGGCAGCAGCAGCAGGAGCAGCAGGAGCAGCAGGGGCAGGGGCAGGGGCAGGGGCAGGGGCAGGAGGTGGCGAAGAAGCTTCATCCGTTGGTCTTTCAAGCAGCGGTGGTGCAGAAAGGAGGGTGGCGAGCGGAGGGGGAGGGGGATACAAGGTGGTGTGTGGGGAGGAGGCGGCAGAGGAGGCAGAGGAGAGGGAGGAGGTGGGGCGGGCGATGCTGTTTGAGTATGCGTGCAGTGAGGCGCTAGAGCATGCTGCGGCGATGCAGGAGCTGCACCACCGTCCGCCAGCAGCAGCAGCAGCAGTGGGTGGGGGAAGAGGAGGTGTGGGCGGAGAAGGTGGCGCCTCTGCCCCGTTCCCTTCAGCTGCATCGGCGTCTGCAGCGGCAGCGCAGCAGCAGCAGGCGTTGAGGCGGCAGCAGCAGGGGGGGCTGAGGTCCAGCACGCGCTACATGCCATCGGTGCAGTACCTGATCGTGCTGCTCAAGCACTGTGTCACTCTACAGGAAGGTCTCGCACTCACGGATGCTCACGGGCAGGGGCAGGGGCAGGGCGGTCAAGTGGGCGGTGTTGGTAAGACGAGAAGCTCAGCCTCGTTACAAGGGGACTCGATACAAGGAAATGAAGGGCCAAGACATCCGGTGAACAGCAGGGGGGTTCAAAGGGCATCGTCGGTGCAGCGGGTGGGAGGCAGGGGCGTGAGGGGGGGTGCGGGCGCTGTGTCCACGGGGCTGAGGGAAACCAAGAGCGACAGCGACGTGGCCTCCAGTGAGCGGGCGAGTGCGAGCAGGAAGGGCGAGGGCATGGGGGAGAGCGTGCGGGTGGGCGTGGGGCGGCGCAAGGAGCTGCTGTTCACACGGCTGGCACACCGCCTGACGGCCATGCCCACGGCGCTGTCCCTGGCGGACCTCGTCTTCCTGGGCCCCGCCACCAGCCTGCTGCTCCTCCACTCCCTCCGCGACGCCTCCCTCTCCCATGCCAACCACCCCTCCATCCCACCCCTGCCCCCCCATGCTGGAGGCCCCCTGCCCCCGCTGCCATCGCAACCACAGCCAGCGCCCACCGCCAGCACCGTTAATGGCACTAGCACCAGCATCACCAGCAGCAGCAGCAGCAGCCGGCGTATGGCGGTGCGGGTGGTGGGGTCCCCTGCAGCAGCGCTGGGCGGCGATCTGGTGTGCGACTACGTGCACTACCTGGCAGCGCGCATGACGCACCAATCACAGCACCACACGTGGCTGCCCTTCCTGCGCCTGTGCCCCGCGTGGCCGGGCCTGTCGAGCTTTCTGATCGACCTCATCGCGCTGCTCAACCTGCTCTTCCCCGACGCCCGCCACCTCCCCCCCGTGCCCGAGCTGTGGAGCATGGTGGACGTCAGCGCGCTGTCCGACGACAAGCTCGCCCTCGCCGGGAAGATGTGCTGCGAGGGGGAGGGTCAGGGCGGAGATGCGGGAGGGGATGGTGGGGAGAGGGGTGGCAGCTGGGGAGGGGGGTGGGGTGGGAGAGGGAGGGAGCAAGGGAGGGGGTGGTGGAGCGAGGGGAGGGTGTTGGCGCAGCAGGTGGAGAGGGAGCAGCGGGCAAGGGGTGTGAGGGCCGAGGGGGAGAGGGGGCGGGAGGAGGAGAGGGGGAAAGAAGGGGGGATGCGGGGGGAGGTGGAGAGGGAGCGGCGGGGGCGGCAGGAGAGGGCGCTGCAGCAGGCGGCGTTGGAGGTGGAGAGTGTGCGCGCCGCCAGCACGCGCCTCGCCCTGGAGACCGCGCAGGTGAGGTCCGGGGCTGGGTGAGTGAGTGGTGCAGTCGATGCTGGTGTGGCCAAGGCACATGTGCTGTCATCTGCCCAACCCTGTGCCATGCCCGGCATTGGCCTGACCCATGCCCGGCGTTGGCCTGACCCATGCCCGGCGTTGGCCTGACCCATGCCCGGCGTTGGCCTGACCCATGCCCGGCGTTGGCCTGACCCATGCCCGGCGTTGGCCTGACCCATGCCCGGCGTTGGCCTGACCCATGCCCGGCGTTGGCCTGACCCATGCCCGGCGTTGGCCTGACCCATGCCCGGCGTTGGCCTGACCCATGCCCGGCGTTGGCCTGACCCATGCCCGGCATTGGCCTGACCCATGCCCGGCGTTGGCCTGACCCATGCCCGGCGTTGGCCTGACCCATGCCCGGCGTTGGCCTGACCCATGCCCGGCGTTGGCCTGACCCATGCCCGGCGTTGGCCTGACCCATGCCCGGCGTTGGCCTGACCCATGCCCGGCGTTGGCCTGACCCATGCCCGGCGTTGGCCTGACCCATGCCCGGCGTTGGCCTGACCCATGTCCGGCGTTGGCCTGACCCATGCCCGGCATTGGCCTGACCCATGCCCGGCGTTGGCCTGACCCATGCCCGGCATTGGCCTGACCCATTCCCGGCATTGGCCTGACCCATGCCCGGCATTGGCCTGACCCATGCCCGGCATTGGCCTGACCCATGCCCGGCATTGGCCTGACCCATGCCCGGCATTGGCCTGACCCATGCCCGGCGTTGGCCTGACCCATGCCCGGCGTTGGCCTGACCCATGCCCGGCATTGGCCTGACCCATGCCGCGGGGACATTTTCCACCATTTGGGCGCCGACCTGCCATCACACCTCATGACTGCCCCCAGGGCATGCCATTGCACCCCATGCTTTGGGGAGCCCTTCACATTGGGCCTGGAGTGGTCCCCCATGTTAATTCCTACCTACCACCCCCCGTTCCTCCCCCATGTGACCCCACGCACACAGCATGGCATGGCATGCATCCCATGCCGCTGGGGGACGGTCCACCAGTGCGGGTGGACCTGGACGTCACTTTCACCTCACCCTTTTAAACCCTCTCGCTTCTCGCTTCCGCGCTCCCTCCACTCACCTCCCCACAGGGCATGGCATCGGACCCGTGCCCCTGGGAGGCATTCCAGCAGCGCAGCATGCGGATATGATGGTGGACGCATGCAGGAGTGGAACCGGCATCTCACCTCTACCTACCCACAACCTGCCCTTCTCCCATCCACGTGATCCCAGGGCAAGGCGTCGGACGCGTGTCCATGGGAGACGCTACAGCAGCGCGGGCTGGAGGCGGACATGGTGGTGGACATCGATGGGGTCACATGGCCGCTGCACCGCCACGTGCTCCTCCCGCACTGCCCCCTCATCCACTCCCTCCTCCCCGCCGCCACCGCTGCCGCCAGCGCCAGCGCGTGTGAGGGGGGGGGGGAGCAGGGCGTGATGCCGCTGGCGCTGGCCACGGGGCTGCCCATCGTGGCGCTCACCGGCTTCCCCGGGGGTCCGCGCTCCTTCTCCATCATCGCCCGCTGGTGCTTCGGCTCGCGCCCCAACCTCTCGCCCAGCCAGGCCGCTGCTGTGCTCTTCGCTGCTCGCTTCCTCGGTGTGTGCCACCCTCTCGGTATCTTGATGATTTTTTATCTAGCATATATATATATATATGTATATACATATATGTATGTATATATATTTTTTGTTTCCCTTTCCTTCTTCCTTTCTTTCTTTCTTTCTTTCTTATCGAAAGCTTTCTTCCGCATGCCTCAACGGCTGCGTGAGCCATAGCATCATGGGGCGCACGTTCATGCCTTACTCTCCTTCCGACCCACCCTCCTCTGCCTTCCCTTGCATCCTTGGTGGGTGTATGGTACGGGCAGGCATGGAGGACCGCGGCAGCGAGGCGCTGATACCGGTGGCGGTGCGCGCGGTGAAGGGCGGGCTGGCGGAGGGGTGGCAGGCGTGCTTTGACATCCTGGAGCGCTGCTACCACGACCGCGTGCTGGACGCGCTGGTCGTCGAGTTCAGCCTCAACCGCCACTTCGTTGACTCCGCTGCCAGACAGTGCTGTGCCGCCCCTGGGGGCGCTGAAACGTGAAATCATGTGTGGGGATTCCACTGTGGGGCTTCAAGGGAGGATTGGTGCCGGAGTTTTGTGCTGTGCTGGTGACTAGTGTTTGGGCTGCAGTCGTTCTCATCTCCATCTCCTTCTCCCTCCTCCTCTCGCACCTCCCTTTGGTACTCTTCCCTCCGCCCCTCCACTCTCTCACACTCTTCCTGTTCCCTTCTCAACCTGCACTGCACCCAGTGCTCCTCCTCCCCTCTTCCGTGCTGGTCCTTCACCACACACCGCTTTCCATTCCCCCTTGTCTACTTCTCCCATCACTCATCCCTGCCCTACTTCGCCTGCGACAGGCAGCCATATTAAAGCCGGAGTCCCACTCCCCCTTGTCCTCTCGCACCCCTCATCTCACCCGCCACTCCCCCCTCCCTCCATCCACTCTGCGCCAGGCGCAATTCTGAAGCTGGAGTCGAAGCTGGTGGGGGACGGGCGGTGGGGCAATGATGACTGGGCGACGGTGAATCGTCTCTTAGAGGGCATGAGCAAGCTGCCCCCAGACATCAGCTGCCGCGTGGTGCAGCAGCTCTGGGACCTGCGCCACTCCCACTGGGCCACCGTGTGCCCTGCACCCTGCTGTGAGGCGGGGGAGGAGCACGCGGGCATCAAGGCGATGGCGACGGTGGGGAGCTTCCTGCTGGGCATCACTCTGTTGAGTAAGATGGAGTGGCGCAGGCAGCACGACGACGAGGAGGAGAAGACGAGGAAGAAAGGCGGGCAGGGGTCAGCAGGTAGCAGCAGCAGCCCGAGCCACGCAGGCAACTCTCCATGGGCCCAGGCGCTGAGCAGCAGTGTGAGGAGCAGGGCACAGCCACCATACGACAACATCCTCTGGATGCTGCGCGTGCTCAAGCTCTTCATCTCGCCGCCCTTCGATCGCCCCATCCTGCTCGTGCTCAGCAACAACACGCCCCTCCTTGAAACCCACCACCTGCACTTCCTCGACCTCTCCTCCTGCCTCGCCCTCCTCACGCTCGTCTCCGCCGCCCCGCGCCAAGACTCCCACCTGGTGGCCACTGCTGATCTCCTCGACGTCTACCTCGCAACGCAAGGCACCAAGCGCAACCCGCCGCTGAGCCCCGAGGATTTCCGTGCGCTTGTGACGCGCCTGCCGCCCGACGCACGACGGGGTGTTTGAGGCGGTGTGTGCGTTCGCCGAGGCGGACCCGCGGCCCGCCACGTGGAACCTGCTGGCCCTCGTGGACTGCGGGCGCCTCACCCCGCGCTGCCTGCGCCTCGCTGCGTCGGCCGCGGCGTCCATGGAGTTTGGGCAGTCCGCTGTGGCGGGCTTCTGGCTGTTCCTCGTCTCGCTCTTGCGCGCTCTCATGTATGAAGGGTAGTGTGTGGATAAATGATGTAATGCATTAGTTGTTGTATTACCATGTTATTGTTAATGCAGCTTCTGGGTTTCAAATCACAAGAGCACTTGTGCAAGTGTGTTACGAGTGCAATTGAGTGATCGAACGAGAATTGCACTATCGAAGCAAGAGTACAATGAGCGAAGGCATGAGCGAAGACTATATAGCGAAACTACAGTGGTAACGGTAACGAACTGTGGGTGACGCGCGACGGGCCTGGAACCGAGGTTTGGGAAAATGTCGAGGCGGAGGCCCGGAGCGCGGGTTACCCGCCGAGCCGTGAGGTCGGGGTGCGACGTGCGAAGGTGGCGGGAGAATTGTCGATGCGAGGGTGGTAACGGTGCTGACTGTGGTGCTAGAGTGGTGTACGCGCTGAGCAGGGGCGCGAAGTAAGGAAGAGGGATTTTCCTTACTAAGCGCAAGAGGCTTCACTAGTTGGAGGTCCCCACCCCAGTCAAATAGCGGTAGCACCTATCTTTCAAATTTGAATGCACTCGCGGATGCTTCACAGGAGCACCAGCAAGCGTCTTGCGCACAACTTCCCAACTTGTACTGTGGAGTTGCACGCGGCGCACGGTTCAGAAACCAGCGCGCGCGAGTAGTTGAGAGTTCTTAGAAGTGAGACAAGGGGGAAGGCGGAGGTGAAGGCGGAGGCGAAGGCGAAGGCGAAGGCCAAGGCCACCCGATCGCCGCCATCATCGCCGCCATCATCGCCGCCTCGCGCTGCGCCCCGGGGGGGAACGGAGAGGGGAGGGCAGGATGGGCGGGAGAGCCGTTGACGTGGGGGGAGGCTTGGCGGGTGATTGGGAGGGGGAGCATCAGCAGAGACGCTACAACCCGTTTCACCTGCAGCAAGAGCGGCAGCAGCAGCCAGAGTATTTCGAGGAGGGCGAGGAGGGGAGCGAAGAGGCGGAGGGGGAAGGGGGGGACGAGTCCGAGGAGGATGTTCCGCTCAACCAGCGCAGGGGGGGCGCGCAGCACAGCGCGGATGGGGGCGAAGGGGGGGCGCTGGGGGGCAGAGGCGCAGCGGGAGGAGTGCCTGCTCCAAGAGGGGGCGCTGGGCGCGGGAGGGGGCGGGGGAGAGGAAGAGGAGGGGGAGGAGGAGGGGTGGGGGGAAGGGGAGGCGGGGCTGTTGCTCCCCTGAAGCGCAAATCCAGTGGCCCTCTGCCTCCCTTACCACACCCATCCGTGCGCCAGCAGCAGGGGCTGCAAGAGCACGAGGATGCTTATAACGGAGATGGAGTGCACGGAGATGACTCTATAGCGAGTGAAAGCGCCCATGAAAGGCACTCTGGCAGCCCGGGGAAGGCGCTGGGGCGAGGGCGGGGGCGGGGGCGGGGCAGGGGCAGGGGGAGAGGCAGGCTTGGGGGAAGGGGATTGGAAGGGGGGGAAGCGGAAGGCACAGGAAGGGGAGGACAGGCAGGAGATGGTGGGGGAGGTGATGTGCTTGGTGGGGGTGATGTGCTTGGTGGGGGTGATGTGCTTGGTGGGGGTGATGTTCTGTCCCCTGGGCGGGGTAGGGGGAGAGGCAGGGGGAGGGGACGGGGAAGGGGAGGGGGAAGAGGAAGGGGAGGGAGCGTTGCAGGGAGAGAGGCAAGTGAGGAGGAGGCAGGGGCGGGCAGTGAGTGGGAGGAGGGCGAGGGGTATGGGCGTGCAGGGGAGGACGCGTACGTGGGCAGTAGGTATGGGGGTGGGCGGTATAACGAGGCAGCAGCGGCGGAGAGAGAGGCGGTGCCAGGGCGGCTGCGGCTCACTGAGGAGGCGCACTCGCCCTTCCCCCTGCTCCCCCCGCCCCCCACCCCGCCTGCTGCCACAGCTGCAGCACGGTCGGCAGCAGAGGGTGGCAGAGCAGAGGCAGGCACAGGCAGTGGGCACACCCTGCAGCAGCAGCAGCGGCAGGAAGAGGGGGAGCAGGAGGGGCAGGATGAGAAGCAGGGCAAGGGGGCATCAGATACGGGTGCGAGTGTGGCTGTCCGGTTTGCTGCAGCCATGAGAGCCGCGGCTGCTGGGGAGGGGTCGCTGGCGGAGGAGGCAGCTGCCATTGCTGCTGCTCTGCCTGCTCCACGCGTGTGGGACCAGACCAGCCTGGACAGGATCTCGACCGTTGATCGCGAGGAGAGGATTCGACGGCTGGAGTCGCAGTGCATGGACGAGTGTGTGCAGCTGTGCCGCGACCTCATCGTGCGCCAACGCCTCTGGCACCAGGTGGGACAAGGGGGGAGAGGGGGGAGGCGCCTCTGGCACCAGGTGGGATAGGGGCACCGCCTCTGGCACCAGGTGAGACAAGGGGGAAGGGGGGGGGAGCGCCTCTGGCACCAGGTGGGGAGGGTGAGGGGGTGAGGGAGGGGGAGGGGGAGGTGGGAGAGACAACGCCTCTGGCACCAGGTGGGAGAGACAACGCCTCTGGCACCAGGTGGGAGAGACAACGCCTCTGGCTCCAGGTGGGAGACACAACGCCTCTAGCACCAGCGCCTCTAGCACCAGGTGGGGGGGAAAGAAGGGGGAGTAGTGCCTCTGGCAGCAGGTAACGAGGGGGAGAGGTGGGATAGAGGTGGGAATGGGGGGGACAGCTGGTACCGTAGCACCTCTGGCACCCGGAGTGCCTCTGGCACCCGGTGGGGTAGGGGGGTGGATGGGGGGAGGGATGGCAGCAGGTGTGGGGAGGGAAGCGCCTGTGGCATGAGGTGTGTGGGGGTGGATGAGGGTGGGGGAGGCGTGGAAGGGTGTGCTGGGGTCGGGGCGAGACGGGGTGAGGGCAAGACGGGGTGAGGGGAAGACGGGGTGAGGGCAAGACGGGGTGAGGGCAAGACGGGGTGAGGGCAGGTGGGACGTGGGATGGATGTGGGTGGCGATGGGGAGAGGTTGGTGCAGAGTGCAATATGTGTGCTCTGGTTGGGAGCGCGTCTTTTTCTCTGCTCCCTGCTTGCTCGCCCCGTTCCCTGCTCCAAACCTCCATCAACTCGGACTCGCTGCTCCACAAGGGCGCCACGCCACTCTGAAGCCTGCTCACGTTCTGCCTGGCCTATAACCGCTCTCTTCCCTCTCCCACTCTGCGCGTGGCCCACCCCTCCCCCCATGCGGGCAGGACATAGTGGATGCGGGAAAGCCCCTGCCGCCCGTCAAGCTCTTACCCATCGTGCCGCCACTGGACCTCCTCGGTGCGTGCCGTGCCCGCCTCCCCTCCCCCTGCTACTCCTTGGTGGTTGCACCCTGCATGCGCTTCGCTCCCTTGCCGTTGCTCGCGTTGCGTCCTCACACCAAGTTCTCCATTCCATGAATGCACGTCATCTAACCAACCTCCCCTTCCCGTGTGACCCATCATGCATGCCCCCTCCCGTTTGTCTCCACAGACCCCGTCAGCCCGCCTGCCCTCCCTCACCTCCACTTTGACTCGCTCCTCCCGCTCCTCCCACCCGCCATGCAAGCTGCTGCTGGGGCAACAGCTGCTGCTGGTGGGAGGGGAGTGAAGGGGAAGGCGGAGGCGGATGTGGGGGCGGGCAGTGCAGGGGGGCGGGGAGGACGGGGCAGAGGAGGGCGAGGGAGAGGGAGGGGAGGGAGGGGAATGAAGCCGGCGGGCTGGGATGCTGAGTCGTCCGCTGCCGTGTGTGCTGGTGGCGAGTCAGCTGAAGGTGGGGCGGTGGCGGCAGGTTTACGGTTGAAACAAGAGGCGGCTGGGGCGGAGTGGGAGGAGGATGCACCGTTGCGAAGGCAGCAGCAGCAGGGGGGGATGAAGAGGCATCTGGGGCAGGTGGGGGGCGCGCAGGGGCTGCAGGGCAGCGTTCCCGTGGTGGGTCGGCCGAAGCAGATGGTTCGGCGGCTGCTGGTGTGGCGGGCGAATGAGCGCGAGGCGCTGAGGAAGGCCCTGCTCGCGTTTGGGCTCACCCGACCGTCCATGGTGAGCGACGGGGATGCGGGGGAAGAAGGGAGTGGGGGCTTGCGAGAGTAACTGGTGGGGAGCGGCTGCATGGGTGCATGAGTGCATGGCTGCATGGGTGCATGAGTGCATGGGTGCATGAGTGCATGGGTGCATGGGTGCATGAGTGCATGGGTGCATGAGTGCATGGGTGCATGAGTGCATGGGTGCATGAGTGCATGGGTGCATGGGTGCATGGGTGCATGGGTGCATGGGTGCATGGGTGCATGGGTGCATGGGTGCATGGGTGCATGAGTGCATGGGTGCATGGGTGCATGGGTGCATGGGTGCATGGGTGCATGGGTGCATGGGTGCATGGGTGCATGGGTGCATGGGTGCATGGGTGCATGGGTGCATGGGTGCATGGGTGCATGGGTGCATGGGTGCATGGGTGCATGGGTGCATGGGTGCATGGGTGCATGGGTGCATGGGTGCATGGGTGCATGGGTGCATGGGTATCAGGGTGCATGGGTTGCATATGGGTGCATGGGTGCATGGGTGCGTGTTGTGCGATGTGTGCAATGGGTGGCATGGGTTGCATGGGATGCATGGGTGGTCATGGGTGCATGGGTGCATGGTGCATGGGTGCATGGGTGTCATGGGTGCTAGGGTGCATGTGGTGCGATTGGTGCTATGGGTGCATGGGTTGCATGGGGTGCATGGGTGCATGCGTGGCATGGGTGCATGGTGCCATGGGTGCATGGGTGGCATGGTGCAGTGGGTCATGGAGGGTGAGGGGTGCATGGGTGGCAATGGGTCTGGGTGCATGGGGCATGGGTGCATGGGTGCATGGGTGAATGGTGCATGGGTGCATGGGTGCATGGCGTTGCAATGGGTGGTTCATGGGTGGCATGGGTGGCGAATGGGGTGCATGGTGTGGCATGGGTTGCATGGTGTGCATGGGTAAGCATGGGGTGCATGGGTGCATGGTGCTATGGGGTCGCAAGTGGGTGCATGGGTGCTGGGTGCATGGGTGGCATAGGGGTAGCATGGGATGCAGTGGGTGCAGGGTGCATGGGTGCATGGGTGCATGGGTGCATGGGTGCATGGGTGCATGGGTGCATGGGTGCATGGTGCATGGGTGCATGGGTGCATGGGTGCATGGGTGCATGGGTGCATGGGTGCATGGGTGCATGGGTGCATGGGTGCATGGGTGCATGGGTGCATGGGTGCATGGGTGCATGGGTGCATGGGTGCATGGGTGCATGGGTGCATGGGTGCATGGGTGCATGGGTGCATGGGTGCATGGGTGCATGGGTGCATGGGTGCATGGGTTGCATGGGTGCATGGGTGCATGGGTGCATGGGTGCATGGGTGCATGGGTGCATGGGTGCATGGGTGCATGGGTGCATGGGTGCGGTGCATGGTGCATGGTGCATGGGTGCATGGGTGCATGGGTGCATGGGTGCATGGGTGCATGGGTGCATGGATGCATGGGTGCATGGATGCATGAGTGCATGGGTGCATGGGTGCATGGGTGCATGGGTGCATGGGTGCATGGATGCATGGGTGCATGGGTGCATGGATGCATGGGTGCATGGGTGCATGGGTGCATGGGTGCATGGGTGCATGGGTGCAGGTGCGCGTGGGGGCTGGTGGTTGCGGTGGCTGGCTGGGGCGAGGCGCTGCGGAAGGCCGTGCAGCCGTGCCCGCATTTGGGCTCACCCTACCGCCCATGGTGAGCGCGGTGGCGGTGGGGGGGAATGAGAGGCTTGTGGGTGCAGTGCAGTGAGTGGTTGGTGCAGGGAGTGGTTGGTGCCAGTCACCGCCCCGCCCCGCCCCGCCCTTCCGCCACCGCTCTTGCTGCAACACCCTCCGCCTCCACCCTCTCCTCTCTGCTCTCTCTCATACGCCCTGTGTGCCTCGTGCCCGCCCCCATGCTGTGCCGCAGCCTACAGCCCAGCCTCCAACGCCACCACCATTCCATACAGCTCTGCACTCCGCTCCACTCCTCGCCCCGTCCCTCCCTCCCCACATATCCCCGCCACCTCCCCCTGCCCTGCCCTTCTGTGTGCCCGTGACGCGGTCAGGTGCTGGGCAGCATGCGGGCGAGCATGAGGAGCGAGCGGCACGGGGCGGGGGACGTGGTGGACGCCACGTGCCACTTCCTGCGCGCGTGCTCAACGCTGCAGCCCCCCGATGCCCTCGACCCGCGTGACCTCGCCTGGGCGCAGCGCCGCCTCTCCCACCTCGCCTCCCTCGCCAACGTCCCCTTGGGCGCCCCGGGGGACGGTGGCGAGGGGGGTGATGGCGAGGGAGAGGGAGGGCGAGAGGGAGGTGGAGGGGGAGGGGAGGGGGATGGGATAGCTCGGCGGGTGGGGTGGTGGGAGCGGGTGCCGGTGGCGAGCTGTGCGCGCACGTGGCTGCGCCGCCTGCGCCTGCTGGAGCAGCTCGTGCGTGTGTGGGCGGGAGGGGGGCGAGGGAGACGGGTGTGTGGGCGGGAGGGGGGCTAGGGAGACGGGTGTGTGGGCGGGAGGGGGGCGAGGGAGACGGGTGTGTGGGCGGGAGGGGGGCGAGGGAGACGGGTGTGTGGTGCACGTGGTATCTGGGGCGAGTGACTTCGTTCTATAATCGTTCTGATGTCTCACCATCAGCATCTCTCGCCCATCTCCTCTCTCTCCCTTCCTCTCTCCCCGCTCAGCATCAGCTGCCGTTACACTGACAAGCCACCCCCTTTTCTTCCTGACCCCCGTGCCTGTCTCCCTCCATTCGTCTCCCCCCCCATCAGCACGAGGTGCTGGGCTTCATGGCGCGCAGCACGGGATTCGCCCTCGCATGCCACCACGTGGCGGCGCTCACCGACGCCACGCTGCCCGCGCATTGGTGGACGCGCGACGCTGACCTGGCGCTGCTGCTGGGCGTGGCTCTGCACGGGTACGGCGCGTACGAGGCCGTGTATGGCGACTCTGCCCTAGGGCCGCACCTCCGCAAGCCCCAGAGGGACGGGGGGGCACGTGGGGAGAAAGGGGAGGAGAAGGGTGAGAAGGTTGGGGAGGAGGGAGGGGCGGGGGGCGAGGAGGAGGGGTGGTTGGACGCGTACACGCTGACGCGGCGGCTGAAGCGACTCATTGAGCACCTCGTGCGCATCAAGCGATCCGTGCGCCCCGACTCCCTCTCTCTGCTCCCCGCTCCCTGCTCCCTGCTCTCTGCTCTCTGCTCCCTGCTCCCTGCTCTCTGCTCTCTGCTCCCTGCTCTCTGCTCCCTGCTCTCTGCTCCCTGCTCCCTGCTCTCTGCTCCTCCCCATATTGCCTGCTCGCCGTCCTCTCTCTGCCTCGCCACCTCTTTGCCTCGCTATCTGATGGCATTCAAAGTGTCTGTGCTACCATGCTACACGTTTGCATGCGCATACAACGTTTCAGAGCAGTTTACAGGTGCAGTAGTGAGGCCAAGAAATGAGGGATGCATGTGGCCACTCACATAGCAATGGAGTCACTCCCTTCTCTCCCCCTCTCTCTCCCCCCCTCTCTCCCCTCCTCTCTCCCCTCCTCTCTCCCCTCCTGTCCCCCCTCCTACCTCCCATCCTGTCCCCTCTCCTCTTGCCCCTCTTCTCTATCCCCTCTCCTCTGTCCCCTCTCTTCTCTTTCCCCTCCTCTCTGTTAGAATACCAGTGTTCTGTGTCCTGCATATATCCTTTATCGCTTGGGTAGACGTAGGCACCCAAGTCTAGTGTGAGTGCATCCTTAGCTAAAGGGTGGAGAATGTTGGAGATCCAGTAATTGTGGGAATGATGGCGGACAAGAACCCAACAACCCCCGCGTCCCATCCAACCATGCATTCCCTTGCCTGTTTCAATGGAATCAAAGTGCTGGTTCTTCACGTTTTCTCACACTCTCTCCCCTCCTATCCCCCTTCCTCTACCGCCTTCTCTTCCGCCTCCTCTCCCCCGTCCTTTTCCCTCTCCTCTCCCCACTCCTACCCCCCGCTTCCTCCCCACAGCTGGCGAAGAAGCCTCAGCCTGCGCCCACGCTGACGGGTCCTTCCCCCGCCTTCACCCCCGCGCACTTCAAGCGCGCCCTTCCCCCCGCCTCCGATGCCTGGGCTGCCCCCGCCGCTGCTGCTGCCGCCGCTGCTGCTGCCGCCGCTGCCGCTGCTGCTGCTGCTGCCCCCGCCGCTGCTTCCGTTGCTGCTGGTGGTGGTGGCGGGAGGGGTGGGGACATCGGCGGAAGAGGGGGCGTTGGGGGGAGAGGGAGGGTAGGCAGGGGAAGGGGAGTGGGAAGAGGGGGGAGAGGAGGATGGGGGTTAGCTGATGGGGGAGGAGCAGGAGGAAGGGGAGGGAGAGAAAGAGTGGGGAACGCAGGAGGGGCTTATGAGGAGTACGGGGGGGAGGAGGAGGAGGAGGAGGAGGAGGAGCAGTGGGGAGGGCGGGGGGAGCATGGGGAGCACGGGGAAGAGTATGGGGAGGAGGGGGATGGGGCAGGGGAAAGGGGGGAAGAGGGGGATGAGGGCGCGGGGGAGGAGTGGAACGAGGATGCCCCTGTGAGGCGAGGTGGGGGGCGAGGGGAGGGCGGACTAGGCGGTGTGGAGAGAGGGGGAGGGGCGAGGGGGCGGGGCAGGGGGCGAGGCAGAGGGCGGGGAGGAGGGAGGGGCGGGGCAGCAGGTGGAGGAGAAACTGGTGCTGCTGACGCGAGCGGTAGGGGGGGGCGGGGGAGGGGGAGAGGAGGGAGGGGGCGTGGGGGCACAAGGGGGGGCGGACGAGGTGCAGGAGCGGTGGAGATGGGTGGTGGCGCGGGGGAGGAGATGGAGTGGGAGGCACAGGCGGAGGAACGGGAGGGGGACGCGGAGGGCGCGCAGGGTGGCGGCCGCTGGCGTGCACACGGGGCAGGGGGGGCGCATGGGGAAGGGGAAGGGGCGGCACAGGGAGGGGTGGACACGGCGTGGAGCCGCAAGGAGAAGCTGGAGCTGCTGCGCCTGCTCATGCTGTGGGGGCTGCCTGCTGTGAGTGGCTCATGCTGTGGGGGCTGCCCGCTGTGAGTGGCTCATGCTGTGGGGGCTGCCCGCTGTGAGTGGCTCATGCTGTGGGGGCTGCCCGCTGTGAGTGGCTCATGCTGTGGGGGCTGCCCGCTGTGAGTGGCTCATGCTGTGGGGGCTGCCCGCTGTGAGTGGCTCATGCTGTGGGGGCTGCCCGCTGTGAGTGGCTCATGCTGTGGAGGCTGCCCGCTGTGAGTGGCTCATGCTGTGGGGGCTGCCCGCTGTGAGTGGCTCATGCTGTGGGGGCTGCCCGCTGTGAGTGGCTCATGCTGTGGGGGCTGCCCGCTGTGAGTGGCTCATGCTGTGGGGGCTGCCCGCTGTGAGTCGTGGCTTGTTTGATTTGGGGGTGCATTCACGCCCATGCCCGTACAAGTGCCTGAAACATTAACGTGCTGTGCCGTGCTGCACTGCTACAACACACCGTAATGCTGTGCGCGTGCACTGCATTTGTCTTGTATAGCAACTGAGCACGCTCACCCCATGAGGTCTTCCCCATCCCGTTCTTCCCCTCGCGCCCCTCGGGAGCAGCGGCATGGCGGCAGCAGGACGAGCCGTGTGAGGTGAGGGGTGGTTGTGAAGGATGGATGTTGAGAGACAGTGCGCCTATCATGTGCTTCAACCTGCTCTGCCCCTGCTCAACCCAACCATCCTGTCCCGTGCTTCCCCTCACACCAACAGGAGCAGCAGCAGGGCAGCAACAGCAGCAGCGGCGGCAGCAGTGTGAGCTGGCAGCAGCTGCGGGACCACTCGCACCTGCCATCCGTGCTCGCCAGGTCAACAGCCTCCGTGGCGGGGTGCTTCGATGACGTCATCGCTGAGATGCAGCGCCGCCTGCAGGGCCTGCCTGCCTCCTCGCCTGCCTCCGCTGCTTCCAATGCTGCTTCCAATGCTGCTTTGGCTGCTGCTGCAGCAGGAGAGGAAGGAGAGGAAGTGGGGGACGGAGGGGAAGGGGATGGAAGGGAGGCAGGTGGCGGTGGCGCGGCGGGCAAGAGGACGTTTGCGCTGGGAGAAGGCCACCCTGCCTGCTGCCCGGTAACATGCCTGTCACCTGCCATGTCCGCATCCCTCTGCTCCTCTCATATGGCCTTTCACGGTTCGCCTCATGCACACATGCCACCACCTCCACTCTTTACCCTCTCCCCCTCTCTGCCCCGCACTGCCCCCTGTCTCGTCCCTGCCGGCCTTCGCAGTGTCTGCTGTGTGGGGAGCGAGAGGCATCGGAGGCGAGGAGGCAGCGCAGGGGGCAACCGAGAGTGGGGGAAGAAGGTGGGGCGGAGGGGGATGGGGAGAGCGTGCTGCTCACTCCAGAAGACTCTGTGCTCAATGCCAAGACAGCGGTCAGTTGATGCCAAGACAGCGGTCAGTTGATGCCAGGACAGCAGTGAGTTGATGACCGTTAGACCCTAATACTTATGCCATGTAATCCATGAAAGATCCTTCTATTTTCCTTCTTCCCTTACTCCAACCGCTCCATTTTTGCGGCCCTTTCTATTTTCCTTCTTCCCTTTATCCCACCGCGGGACCGCATGCATGTCCGCCCGCGTCACCAGGAGAGGCTGCTAGAGCGGTTGGAGGCGGTGGAGGTGCTGCGCAGGGCGGTGGCGGTGTTTGGCGGGGACTGGTTCCGGCTGGGCCTGTCCACGTATAAGTCGCACGACCTGCCCGCCTGGTGGCGCGCTGGCATCCACGGCAAGGGGCTCGTCAAGGTGCGTGGCATCCACGGCAAGGGGCTCGTCAAGGTGCGTGGCATCCACGGCAAGGGGCTCGTCAAGGTGCGTGGCATCCACGGCAAGGGGCTCGTCAAGGTGCGTGGCCATCGTTCATGCTGGCCTCCACCCCCCCAGCCCAGCTTTCATCTCTGTGCCCCCACTCCCCTCCCCCGTCGACCCCTCTTCCCCCTCGTTAGGGCATATTCTTGCACGGGTACGGGTCGTGGGCGGCCATCATGAAGGACGCGGAGCTGCCCTTTGCGGTGCTCATAGCGCCCAGCAAGGCCGCCAAGGGCAAGGCGGGGCCCCGCAAGGCCGCGGCAGAGGCGGACGGCAGTGGCGCCGGCGAGGGAGGGAGAGGCGGCAGCGAGCAGGAGGACGAGGACGGGGCAGGCGGGGGAGCGGCAGGGGAGGGGGCACCGAAGGCGAAGGTGGTGGTGCGGAGGGTGAAGTACCTGGAGAAGATGCTCAAGCGGCAGCTCATCAAGCGTGACAGCTCTGGTCCCCGCAAGCGCATGTCCGCCGCTGCCAAGGCTGCTGCTGCCGCCGCCGCCGCCGCCGCTGCAGCTGCTGGTGGTTCCGCTGCTCCCTGCGTTGATGCCAAGCCTGCTGCTGGCACTGTCAGTAGTGTCGGTGCTGCTGCTTCTGATGATGTGGATGCAGGGCAGCAGCGTGTGCATGGACACATGGCGTCCGCTGGTTGGCTGGCGGGAGATCCACACAGGGCTGGAGGTTGGGGGGATGTGGGAGGAGGCGGGGGAGGAGTGAGCCTGGAGTTCACATTGGAGAGGGGCGCGGGTGCTGGAGGAGTGGGTGGGGTGGGAGCACGAGGTGTTCATCCTGCTGCTTCTGCTGGCGCTGGTGTTGCTTTGGTTGGAAATTCTGCCAGAATAGTGGGTGGGGGTCTAGGCTTGGGCATGGGTGGAGGTATGGGTGGGCTGGACTTAAACATGGACTTGGATGAGGAAATAGAGGACTAGATGGTGCCTTGTGCCTTGTTTGTGTTGGTTCTCCTGGGAGTGCTGGACTGGGCTGTAATAAAGTGCAATTGAGGCTCATGTTGAGGAGCTGATCAGGTTGCTTGTTGAGAACAAATTCCTGTTGAGGTAAGAAAAAGTAAATGTGTTGATAACTTGATACCGTCATCGGCCGGATAGTAAATGGAAGGTTTATGGTGTCTTTTTTGTTAAAATGTGGAAACAGGAATCGAAATTAGCAAGGAGAGGGAGTACAAGAAGGAAACCTAGAAGGGTTGTACCCCCTATAGCTAGCATCACTATAGCCTAGAAGAATAACATACACATACACATATGTTTGACACACCCCCATAGGCTAAGTGGGGGATAGCAAGACCAACAAAAGGTCACAAGACCAGTCAAGAGAAGAAGCACATCAACGCAAAGCTCACGGTGGATCTCAAGATCACCACACATTCTGAGCACAAGCAAGCGGTCACAAGGCCATTTCACATGCAGTTTTATAATAACACAAGTACCGTATTCTCCCGGATATAAGACCCGGGGGACTTTCCTAAAATAGGGGCAAATTGGTTAGGGTGAACATTTAATCGGAACGAGTTGTATAAGACCCGGGTACACTTATTAATCAAGTACAGTTATGCGATTTAGGGTGTACCATTCGTTTTGGGGGGGGGGGGGGGGGGGGGGGACTTTTATTTTGCACGTCCAAATCCACCGCTTACAGCACTCCGAACCTCATATCGCGTGTGACACGCGTCGTCCAACTAGGCACGACGGCGGAAATCACACCATTCGAGGCGAACCGCACAGCATCTTGACTGCGCGGTTCCCTCGGGTGCCCACATCCAGACCCCCCCCCCCCCCCCCCTTGCATCACGTCTGTTCCTTTAGCGACAGAGCGAGGGACAGGCTCTGGACGTGGTGCGGAACGGATCCCTTACAACTCCAGCAGGCAGCCGAGCTTATCACATCGTACCCCAGCGCTGTGTCTATTGCTTCTGATTCACTTCGTTAGCTCAGCCACGGGCTCGTCAAGGTGCGTGGCATCCACGACAAGGGGCTCGTCAAGGTGCGTGGCATCCACGCCAAGGGGCTCGTCAAGGTGCGTGGCATCCACGCCAAGGGGCTCGTCAAGGTGCGTGGCATCCACGCCAAGGGGCTCGTCAAGGTGCGTGGCATCCACGACAAGGGGCTCGTCAAGGTGTGTGGCAGCTTGCTATGCATTCATTGGATGCATGGTTGCTTACCGGCTGCTGCCCATCTCGATATCTCCACTGCTCACCCTCCTCCTGCGTGGCCATCGTTCATGCTGGCCTCCACCCCCCCAGCCCAGCTTTCATCTCTGTGCCCCCACTCCCCTCCCCCGTCGACCCCTCTTCCCCCTCGTTAGGGCATATTCTTGCACGGGTACGGGTCGTGGGCGGCCATCATGAAGGACGCGGAGCTGCCCTTTGCGGCGCTCATAGCGCCCAGCAAGGCCGCCAAGGGCAAGGCGGGGCCCCGCAAGGCCGCGGCAGAGGCGGACGGCAGTGGCGCCGGCGAGGGAGGGAGAGGCGGCAGCGAGCAGGAGGACGAGGACGGGGCAGGCGGGGGAGCGGCAGGGGAGGGGGCACCGAAGGCGAAGGTGGTGGTGCGGAGGGTGAAGTACTTGGAGAAGATGCTCAAGCGGCAGCTCATCAAGCGTGACAGCTCTGGTCCCCGCAAGCGCATGTCCGCAGCTGCCAAGGCTGCTGCTGCCGCCGCCGCCGCCGCCGCTGCAGCTGCTGGTGGTTCCGCTGCTCCCTGCGTTGATGCCAAGCCTGCTGCTGGCACTGTCAGTAGTGTCGGTGCTGCTGCTTCTGATGATGTGGATGCAGGGCAGCAGCGTGTGCATGGACACATGGCGTCCGCTGGTTGGCTGGCGGGAGATCCACACAGGGCTGGAGGTTGGGGGGATGTGGGAGGAGGCGGGGGAGGAGTGAGCCTGGAGTTCACATTGGAGAGGGGCGCGGGTGCTGGAGGAGTGGGTGGGGTGGGAGCACGAGGTGTTCATCCTGCTGCTTCTGCTGGCGCTGGTGTTGCTTTGGTTGGAAATTCTGCCAGAATAGTGGGTGGGGGTCTAGGCTTGGGCATGGGTGGAGGTATGGGTGGGCTGGACTTAAACATGGACTTGGATGAGGAAATAGAGGACTAGATGGTGCCTTGTGCCTTGTTTGTGTTGGTTCTCCTGGGAGTGCTGGACTGGGCTGTAATAAAGTGCAATTGAGGCTCATGTTGAGGAGCTGATCAGGTTGCTTGTTGAGAACAAATTCCTGTTGAGGTAAGAAAAAGTAAATGTGTTGATAACTTGATACCGTCATCGGCCGGATAGTAAATGGAAGGTTTATGGTGTCTTTTTTGTTAAAATGTGGAAACAGGAATGTCGAAATTAGCAAGGAGAGGGAGTACAAGAAGGAAACCTAGAAGGGTTGTACCCCCTATAGCTAGCATCACTATAGCCTAGAAGAATAACATACACATACACATATGTTTGACACACCCCCATAGGCTAAGTGGGGGATAGCAAGACCAACAAAAGGTCACAAGACCAGTCAAGAGAAGAAGCACATCAACGCAAAGCTCACGGTGGATCTCAAGATCACCACACATTCTGAGCACAAGCAAGCGGTCACAAGGCCATTTCACATGCAGTTTTATAATAACACAAGTACCGTATTCTCCCGGATATAAGACCCGGGGGACTTTCCTAAAATAGGGGCAAATTGGTTAGGGTGAACATTTAATCGGAACGAGTTGTATAAGACCCGGGTACACTTATTAATCAAGTACAGTTATGCGATTTAGGGTGTACCATTCGTTTTGGGGGGGGGGGGGGACTTTTATTTTGCACGTCCAAATCCACCGCTTACAGCACTCCGAACCTCATATCGCGTGTGACACGCGTCGTCCAACTAGGCACGACGGCGGAAATCACACCATTCGAGGCGAACCGCACAGCATCTTGACTGCGCGGTTCCCTCGGGTGCCCACATCCAGACCCCCCCCCCCCCCCCCTTGCATCACGTCTGTTCCTTTAGCGACAGAGCGAGGGACAGGCTCTGGACGTGGTGCGGAACGGATCCCTCACAACTCCAGCAGGCAGCCGAGCTTGTCACATCGTACCCCAGCGCTGTGTCTATTGCTTCTGATTCACTTCGTTAGCTCAGCCGCACTACAAAGAACGGCTCATGGCGCCAGTAGGTCGTCATGCGCCCCAAGTACGATAGTTTAGCAATAGAGTTCCACCATGTCGGCTTTCGAAATCCCTTGGCGTACGCGCCGTGCCTCGCCGACTTCATCGCGGCCGGCCATCTTTCTGATTACTAGCTCGCGTCCGCCAGCACCACCTGCGCCTCCCGCACCTCCTGCCCCGCCTGCTCCACCGGCGCCGCCTGCGCCATCCGTGTTTCCCCCGGGTTTTGTTTCCCACCAGGACCGGCCTCTCTTCGAGCCCCCGGACGAGGAGGGCTTTCCCGCGCCAGAAGACGTCAGCGAAAACCGCGATGAGACCGACGAGGCGGCCGACGGTGTTGGCGACTTCCCCATCCCCACCTTTCCCGAAGACCTCGTCCACGATGAAGGTGGTCCCGAGGCAACGAAGGACGCCGCGCCTGCAAGTCCGCGTTCCTCGCAAGAGTACGCACCGTCGCACGGCGCGCACCATGGGTGAGAAGTGGCAGTGGCTTCTGCGGATGAAAGACGAGAATCTGTCAATTCGTCACACGGCCCGTCTTGCAGGGGTTCAGCCAATCAGCGTCCGCCGTTGGCTGAGGATCGCGCAGGAGATCGAAAAGGCTGCACCGTGCAGGCGTCGGCTGAAGGGTGGCGGTCGGCGGGCGAAATACCCCGACATGGAGCAGGCCGTGTACAAGAAGCTCCTGAACTTCCGCAGCAGGGGGTTAGCGGTCCCGATCAAGCTCATCAGGCAGTGGAGCAAGACGTTCATGAAGCACCACCACCCGGACGTCGCTTGGATGGCCTCCGCGTGCTGGACGTTTCGCTTCCGTGCACGGTGGGGCCTCGCCATCCGTGTGAAGACGAAGATCGGGCAGCGCCTCGCGAAGGGTATGTATAATTTGCTTCGCGACTCATTGACCCTCCGTGTTAGCGTATAAGCCGCCTCCCGCTGTTTACCTGGGTGAGTCACTTCGTTTACCGGGTTTTTTTTATTTCGTTTGCAGATTGCAAGCCCAAATGCGAGTCTTTCTGGGAGTTCGTACGGCGGAACGTCGTCAAGTGGAGCATCGACACGTGGAACGTCATAAACGCGGACCAGACCCCTGTGTTCTTGGAGATGCCGTGCGACCGGACTCTTCACCACCGCGGCGAGAAGTCTGTGCACGTTCGCAGCGCGGGGTACGAGAAGCAACGGGTGACCGTGATGCTGGGCGTCACGGCGGACGGACGCAAGCTCCCAGCGATGGTCATTTTCAAGCGCAAGACCATCCCTAAGATGCGCGTGCCGCCAGGTAATTTTTGTATTGGCCCTGAAGCCGCGGTGGGTGATACCTTAGTACGTTTAACAATCTCCTCGTGCACTTGCGTGTTTCTCGTATGCAGGTGTCATCATCCGCGCTCATGAGAAGGGGTGGATGGACGGCAAACTCGTCGACGACTGGGTTAACAATGTCCTTCTCCCCTTCATCAAGCCGCCTCGTGGCATCCGTCGGTCCAAGACCCTCCTGGTCTTGGACTCCTACCGTGGACACATCACGGACGGCGTTCTTGCGAAGCTCAGGTGGCACCGTGTGATCCCCGCCATCATCCCGGGGGGGTGCACGCCCCTGCTGCAGCCCCTTGACGTGAGCATCAACCGCTCCTTCAAGGCGGGACTGCGCACGTTCTACAACGACTGGTTCGCCGATGAAGGGGTGAACAGCTTCACCCCCGCAGGTGCGTCTACCTTAAGGGTTCTAAACCGTAACAAAGTGAGAGCACATGTTGACACAATAAACACACTCACTCAAATCTGTGTGCTTTGGTCGACCTTGCAGGGAACCTGAAGAGCCCCCCCGCTGAGACGGTGCTGAAGTGGATCGCCCAGTCATGGAGCGACGTGCCGGAGCACATCATCGTCAAGGCGTTCCTGACCACCGGCATCAGCAACGCCGTTGATGGCAGCCAGGATCACCTCGTCCTGGCGCACATGCGGGATGCTGGCCAGGTCGAGGTGGGAGAGGACGTCCACTCCTCCCCCTTGGTGGATGAGTGGGTCAACACCACGACTGCTGACGACGAGGAAGCTGCCCGGGAGGCGGACAACGAGGATTGTGGGGACATGCCCGCGGAGGAGGCGGAGGAGGAGGAGGAGGAGGAGGAGGAGGAGGAGGAGGAGGAGGAGGAGGAGGAGGAGGAGGAGGAGGAGGAGGAGGAGGAGGCCGAGATGGAGGCGGAGGAGGAGGAGGAGGAGGAGGAGATCGAGGGGGAGGCAGAGTGAGGAGACGTGGAGGAGGACGAGGTGGAGTAGGGAATAGGGGGGTGCAAGAGAAAGGTTAGCTAAGCCGGACCGTAGATGTGTATAACTGTGTTGCTTGATGTACAGGAGTATTGACTCGTTCCATGCCTTCACATCGTGTCTAGTGTGGATCCAAGTGCACTATTAATTCTAAACTGTTGGGCAATTGTTTCTTTAACAGAATCCCCTCCCCTAGGGGAAGGGGGGGGGTCTTATACTGATTATAGGCTTAGGGGGGGTCCTCTCACATATGCTACATATTAAGAGTCCCAGTACCGTTCAAAAGTCCCGGGGGTCTTCTTTTCGGGAGGGTCCTATATCCGGGAGAATACGGTAGTACAATGATTACAACCTAGCAACGTGAAGCATGCAGGTTTAAATATCAAAGTACAAAATAAGATCAAGAGACAACCAGGTGAGGCAGAGTGGGCACAAGCCCAAGAGCAGTGCAGAAACGCTGATGATCACTAGACCCAAGGACCTTGGTGAAGACATCAGCAGTGTTGGCCTGTGTGGCCACGTAAGCAAGACGAAGCTGACATGCTGCTGCAGCTCTTGCGTGAGGAAGTAACGGAAAGCAATGTGCTTCGTTCTGTGCTCCAGTCTCTAATCCTGATACAAGGCAATCATGGCCTTGTTGTCGACGTATAGAACTGGTGGAGAACGAGGCCGCTCACCCAAGTAGATTTGCAGGTAGGTCAGCCAACGGAGCTCCTGTGCAGCCATAGCCCCAGCGTAGATCTCGACCTCACAGCTGGAACTAAGTACAGAAGAAGAGCGAGTGGACCTCCACGAGACAGAACTAATGCCGAGGCTGAAACTGTACCCCTGTGTCGACCGGTGAGTCGTCTGGTCGTCAGCTCAAGAAGCGTCTGAGTGACCGGTGAGAACAACTGAACCCCGTCCTCCAAGCACAAGCCCCATGCCCGATGTACTACACAAGTAACGCAATATCCTCTTCGCAGCTTCCTAGTGCACCTTTCGGTGTCTACCGGGAGCCACGTAGCGAGCCAGGAGACCGAGAGGGTACGCGAGGTCAGGTCGTCTGCACATCATTAGGTACATGAGGCAACCCACAAGCTCTGGGTACGGACCACTCGGCTCTACGGACTCGTTCGAAGGTGGAGCTGAGAGCGAGTGGCCGTTAGACAGAGGAGTGGGCTGTGGCGAGGACCACGAGAAGCCGAAGCGCTGAAGGACCTGCTCCACCATGTGTGACTGAGTGAGGGTGATGGTGCGGCGTGCTCTGTCCCGGGTGATCTGCAAGCCAAGGTAGCTCCGCAGTTCACCCAGGTCAGTGCAGGTGTATCTCTCTTGCAGCTCCGCCTTCACTGAGGCCAGAGCCTCAATGTCAGCAGTAGCAAAAACCAACTCGTCAACGTATACAAGAACGTAGAATGGCGGCAAAGAATTGTCGGTGCGTAGAATCAGCGAAGGGTTAGCAGACGAGGGAGAGAAGACAAGAGCCGCAAGTGTTGTCCTTAGTGTCTCGTGCGACTCACGGGGCGCCGTCATAGGTCGTAGACTGTTCGCTGTAGACTTCACTGGGTACCCTTAGGAAACGACCAAATGAAGCCACATGGGCGGCGCAACCAGATAGCCTCGTAAAGGCTGCCCTGCAGGAAGGCCGTCGAGAAGTCAAGAGAGTGCAGCTCGTAGTCGCACTGTGCTGCAACGTGCAGTAGCACCCGAAGAGTGGTCATCTTCGGGGTGGGGGAGAAGGTCTAGAAAAAGTCAACCCCCTCACGCTGACTGAAGCCTCGTGCAACGTAATGCGCCTTGAAGGCAGGCGGAGAACCCAGCGGCCGCTTCACCCTGAAAATCCACATGCCATCGACTATGTTCGCCCCAGGTGGAGGAACCTCGTCGACGTAGGTGCCTGTGGACTTCCAAGAAGCCATCTATGCGTCCATGGCTATCTGCGACTGAGAGGTGTACGGACCCGTGATCGCCTTTGCGTAAGTGCGCGGGGTCGAGATGTCCAGTGCATCCGGGTCTCCCTCAGGGCAAAGTAGCGTGGACGCGAGATGAGGTGCAGCGGCCGCTAGGCACTACAGCTCAAACTGCCTGTCCTCAAGAATGTCACAGCCAAGGGCAAGCTCACCCGTGACGGACGAATGACATGAAGAGTAAAAACAAGACTCGCAGCGTAGTCAAGGCGGCACAAAGCAGCTAAGTCAACAAGCTCAGCAACTAAGGCAGACGCAGCAGCGGAGTCGAAGGAAAGGTCAGTCACAACCGTGGCAAGGAGACGAGTAACAATCGGACTGGCAGTACGGACAAGGTCTGACTCAGGGTGGAAGAGAAGACGCAGGAGGCGACGGCAGGACAACACGCTGTGGAACATAGGAAGGACGAAGTGCCATGATGTGTGTGCCAGGGAAAGGTGGAGGACGAGGACGCACAGCACGGCGAGAACAGTCAGGCGTGACAGGACGCAACGCAGGCTCTCTACGCTCAGTGAAGGACTCTGTCACCGCAGTGTGAGGAGCACGAGCAGGCAGTTGGGAGCCCGGTAGTAGCTGTGGCTAAGACTAGACAGTCGGTGGGAACAGTAACGGAGGAGTAGAACCAGCAACCGGGAACTCAGTAGCGGCAGGCGAGAGACTGAGAAGGTGATGAAGCACAGACTACAGCGGCTACGTAGTCGCACCCCCAGATCCTCCAGCTTTGGTAGCAACAGCACCCCAGAACCAGTGCCTCCAACTCCACCATGGGGACTGCCTCAACGGAGAGCCCACTCGCGAAGCTGCTGCGGCGAGAACGACTCCTGTCGACTAGCACCACCAACTCCGGTACCTCCAGTAGCACCTCCAGTGCCAGCACCTGTGCCTCCAGTACTAGTACCTCCAGCACGGCCAACTCCAAGAACATCAGCACTAGCACCTCCAGGGACAGCACCTCCAGAACCTCTTGTAGCACCTGTGCCTCCGGTACCAGTACCTCCAGCACGGCCAACTCCAGGAACACCAGCACTAGTAACTCCAGGGCCAGCACCTCCAAAACATGCAGCTCCAGCACGTCCAGCGCCACCACCAGGACTGCCCACAGCAACACCCACAGCAGCAGCACCTCCAGTACCTCCAGTTGCACCAGTAGTCCCAGCACCTCCAGCTCTAGCTGTACGAGCACGGCTAGCTCCACCACCAGGCCTGCCCCACTGTACAACGCACTCGCGAAGCCGCTCCGGCGAGAGAGTCTCCTGCCGCCGTGCACCAGTGCTACCAGCACTAGCAGCCCCAGTACCACCAGTAGCAGAATCTCCAGCTCCAGCAGTCCCAGAACCTCCAGCTCCAACGGTCCCAGTACCTCCCGCTCGAAGACGGCTAGCTCCACCACACGGGCTGCCCCACTGGACAGCCCACTCGCGAAGCCTCTCCGGCGAGAGAGCCTCCCGCTGACTCGTACCAGGACCACCAGCACTAGCACCTCCAGTACCTCTTGTACCAAGAGGACACTCAGCACCCCCAGGCCTAGCACCCCCAGAGTCCGCACCCCCAGTGGCACCACCGCCTGCAACCCCAGAGTCCACAGCGACAAGCTGCAACGGCGGTGAAGACGGTCGAGGCGGAAACCCAGGAGGGACCGCCAAGCGCTTGGAGCGGCGAGGGGTCACGGTGACAGCAGGAGTCGGGTCACCCCCCTCACCTGGACTAGAGGTGTCAGAGGAGACCTCGGCTGGCTCAACCAAGGGGGACGGGTAAACCTGAGATACACCTAAGGGAGCAGGATCCTGCGGGGGAGTGGGGCTACCGGGGGGGGGGGGGGTGGTCGGAGACCAGTGCGAGAGGCGGGAGGGGCACGGTGGAACTGTGGCGGGGGTGGAGACGGTAGAAGCAGACAGACTCGTCAAAATTGACGTCCTGGGAGGAGGGGACATGACGAGAACCAGGGTGGTAAAACTGCCAGCCCCGGGCGTCGGTAGGGAAGCCAAGGAAGACGCAGCGAAGAGTGCGGGGAGAGAGCTTCCCCGCCGGGGGGTCGCGAACAAGCGAAAGGACACCTCAGACCCGAAACGCCGACGCATCACCAACCTCACCCGTCCACCACAGAGTGGGAGAGGTCTCCGGGTGGGAGATACGGGGCCAGAGGTTGAGTTGCTCAGCAGCGTATCGGATTGCAAACGGCCACAGGAAATGGGGAGCAGCCGCATGGATGTTGGAGGTGCGAGCAACCTCAATCACCAAGCCAATGCGGCGCTCTGCAACCCCATTCTGCTGTGGAGAGGCCGGAAGCGTGAACGTCTGGTAGATGCCCTCAGCACCACAGAAGTCCTTGAGGAGGTCGGAGGAAAACTCACCACCTCGGTCAGAGTGCAGTCGCAGGACCGGGAGTTCGTGCTGAAACCGAGAGCTGAGCTGGCGACGGACAGCACGGATCCAGCGGATTAGGACTCTGCGGACCTCCGCCTTGCTCTGCAAGGGGAAGACCTTGGTGTAGCGCGTATAGTCGTCTACAACCAGCAAGAAGTAGCGCCCTCCGCCCTGTCCAGGGACTCAGGCTGGACCCCACACATCCATGTGGAGGGTTTGCAGAGGAGCTGTGGTCGGAGGAAACGAGGAGTGAGGAGCGGCGCGCTGCCGCCCCTCGATGCAGGGAAGGCGCGGCGGCGCAAGTGACCTTGGGAGCGGGGGCAGGGACCTGGGAAGCCCAGAGACAACGACTCGGGAGTGCATGCCACGAAGGCGTGGCAAGGAGGGGTGGCCAAGACGGTGGTGCCAGAGGAGAGTCTGGTGTGTGAGGAGACAACACGAGCAAGACGTAGCGACCTCAACCGACGCAGCTACTTGACCTGACTCAGCTACCAATGCAGACTCAGTGGTCAGTGTATACATGCCAGACCCAGGCCTCCGAGTCAACGTAGCGAGGTTGCCACCAGTCCGCGAATCCGTACAGATTGCCACGAGCTCGCCTCCAGGCTGGGTGACAGTGACCCACTGGTCCTGGAGGACAGAGGTATCCACCAAGTTCTTAGCGAACAA